CCTCTTACAACTGAGGCACAATCAACTGATCAACGTCGGGGCCCCAACCCTCCGACCTAGAGAATGTAACCGTGTTTGCTCCTTCCTTCAGATCAACATGAACGACGCTGCTTCCAGCTCTGTCGGGGTGTTGGTTGGTAGCCAAGAAGGCTACACTCTGCTCCTCACCGTTTACCGAGAAGGCAGCATGGCGAGAGCCGGTGTCTCCGTTCTTGTGCTTGACCACGAGAGTTACACGGTCCGCGGCAGCTGAGTCAAAGTTAAAGACAGCCGTGCCATCATCGTCTCCGCCAAGATATCCAGCGGCTGAAGAGCCACTGCACTGAGAACAGTCGACTACACGAGCACCGTTTGAAAGCTCGGCGGCTTCGCCCTCCAGCTCAATGGTGGGCTTCGCCTCAGACCAGGTGCCAGCGGCGACATCCAACGTCCAGGAATCATGCCAGTCAAGGGTAACTGTGGTTCCATCGAAGTTCAGGGGCAACCAGATGTAGGTGCTTGCCGCCAAGTTGGTCGAGTGCCAGCGGTCTCCCATGTAAACTGCCTTGTCGTTGCCCAATGGCAAAACGTAGCTGACCTGGCTGCTGAATGTGTTGGATCCTACGGGTGCAAATTCCGTCCAGTTGGACCATGGGCCAGAAAGAGACTCAGCATAGCTGTAGACCTAATAAGAGAGTCAACTACCACTCATGTGTTTCTCATCAGCGCGGCAGCTTACATTATCGTTGGGGTTCCAGCCGGTCAGATGAGATCCGAAGATGTAGTAGATTCCGTTTCTCTTGACCAAGGCGGGTGACTCGGCAAAGTACTCCCAGCCGAAAGTAACCTCTTCAACGTCAAGGTAATCATCGGTGAGCTTGATGATGCGGGTTCCGTACTCGCGCTGCCCATGCATCAGCACAACTTCGTCTTTCTTCGGGGAGATTGGGGTTTTCTTACATCCTCACTAAGGAGATAAGCCTTGCCGTCATCATCCTTGTAAACTCCGATGTCGCGGCTCTGGAAGCCCAGGGGGCGGAAGCTTCGGAGATACTCATACTCTGCACACACAGAGTCGCCGATTCCGACGCCTACACGTGCATCCTTGTAGTCTGAAGAGTCGATGTGAAGATACAAAACGTACTTTCCCGTGCTATCGTTCTTAATGACCTTGGGACGCTCAATGATGCGGTTGGGTCCCAGGTCACCTGCTTCTTCGGTGCGAGAGATGAGTCGCCCCTCAAAGCTCCACTCAACGAGGTTCGTGGACGAGTAACAGTTGACAGCTTGGAAAGCCGATCCGTCGGTCTTTTCTTCGCCAATCATGTAGTAGACACCATTTTCCTCACTAAATGGTGTAAGTGTCAATGATGATCAATGTTGAAGGATCAGCTTACATGATTCCGTTACCATGGGCTTGAACATGCTCTCCGGTGTTCGTCTGAAAATGGTCAACTTTGGTGCTATCAGCAGGCGGATCCATAAATAACTTACAGCCGTCCACGTAGCTCCGGGGACAATACTAAGGGCAGCGTTGGCGGTGCCTACAGACAAGGCCGTGGCGAGCGCAAAACCGAATGAACGCATGTTGACTCAGTTGAGCTCCAGGCTGTGAGAAAGCTTCAATGCAAGAAGACCAAGCCACACTGCAACATACAGCAAAAGACCACGGGAAAAAAGGCACCGGCCTTTCATGATGTATTTGTATGTACCATTCAACCGTGGAGTTGATGATGTCTTGGCGATATTTGCAAAAACGCACATGACGTCTGTCATGCAGAGCCAGCCACGGCTTGTGTGCTACAAGCGGATTAGGCGGTCGTGAAGAAATTCGGTGTAGCACTAGCCGAGCGCTTAAGGCGAGTTGAATGCAGAGGCTGGAGTTGCATTCGGCGCTGTTTCCGAGCTGCGACCGCGGGGAACTCAGGGGCACCCCGCAACAGTGCAGCTCATGATCTGTTCATTCGAGCGGCAGTCAGTCAGGCAAAGCAGAGTGGCATGACTACCAAGACCGAACACGATCAAGCCAAGATGTGGTACCGCGGGGAAATCAAGCTTGCGATATTTCAAGTCAGCTTTCAGCGGATCCCAAGACGGGCCCGTGGCCATTCTTGAACATGGTTGAGGGCTGATCGCTGCCGTGTAAGCCATTTAAGGTTGCTACCCCCGGTACGATGACGGGGAACCCGGAGCCGAGTGAACCGGGGGATTCGGCGGGCCGGCACTTGCACCGCGATGCATCGCGGTAACGAAGTGGGCCAACAGTCTTACGTGAAGAGGCCCTCTTTTCATTGACAAATGCCTCTAGGGGGTTTGTTCGTGAGTTTCAATACGGGATAGTCAGTCAATTGTTCGAAGATATTATTTTGCAGCATACCTTCATCAAAGTTCATTGGCTCCTCAGTGATATTTTCAGTCATCAAGGCCCTCCACTTGGATCAATTCCTGAACGTCTCACTAGACATGGAAATCAGATGCTGCTTTCTTGATTCAAGATATGGCAAGACATTGTACTACCTAAGGCATCATTCCTACTCTTTGAGCATTTGGTGCTTGGTAGCGCGCATCACAGGTCCTCACAACCAACAGATATTGCGAATAAATGTACTTCGTAGTGTTTAAAACCCGACTTCTATGTCTGGACATGCTTCTAGAAAGTTACTATCTCGGTTGCTTGGGTTCTCTCTCTATCTCAAGCTCGCAAGCACGCTCACGGAACGCGGTGTTGAAGAATGCTTTGACCCCCGAGCTGCGGGGACAACGATGAAATTTCTCACTTTGACAAAAGATATTGATTTTCAAGCAAAGGTCTTGCTCGTCATCATTCTTGTTGTCGTCCTACGGGAGTTGAAAAGGAATTTCGTACAGTAGGCATAACACGTCAGTGATAATGTGGATAGCTTGATGACTTGAAGTCTACATTCACAGCTGCCGGTTGAATGCGCTGGCAAGTAGGGAGTATAATTTGTTCTTCCAATGTCCTTATCGCCTAGCAGTTCCTACGTGATGATGATATAAGTCTCAAAGCGCATTTAATTGCCATTGTGCAGGCAAAGGAGGTCATGTGGGGCTCAAGAATGTCAAGCAATAGGCTGTATTCTCCAGACTATCGCCGTGGTCCTGAAGTTATACAAGCTTGACTCGCGCATTGGAGTTTCTTAGTGACATAGAACTCATTTCTTGCACGCATATACCTCAAATTGCCCTGTCAGAGGTGTGTGTTCAACTTGAGATCTAAGACGATTTTCGCGATTCGGCCACCGGTGGGAGGTCGTGATACAAGGTGCCAATCCCTGTTGTCTCACCCCTGACTTCCGGAAACAAAGAGTGATGTGCCGGTCTAGACTCCGACGCCAGAATTGAGTTCTTAATAAGCTTACTGCCAAGTGAAGTGGACACAGACCAGCGTTTCCCGCCAAACCGCCGACTGAAAATGACTCAATCCCTGGCCACGAATCGTATCTCGTTGGACGCGACCGTCGAGGAAGCTTCCGTGGGGGATGCGCCGTCTGGACAACCTTCCAAGACCCCTCAGTTGCCCAAAAAGGATTCGGCATGCCCCTGATTCGAGAGATAACCGTTGGTAGGTGTCTTCTCGGCAACTAACTCGTCTCGACACATGCTCCCGATGTCGTCTGAGATCCGAGGTATGATGAGATTCCACACCCACTCGGAAGTTTTGGCGATCATTTCGCCTCTTCCCCTCATCTCGACAGAGATAAATCGCCTGATATTCTGTCATTTTCCGTCGGCTTCATCCTCATGCTCCCACCACCGGATGCTCTCTCTCAATCCCGCGCGGGGACGGGAAAGAATCCGCGAGAGTACACAAATGACTGTCAAATTATAAAGTTCATCCATCGAAGTTCTGAAGTCATTATTTCGATTAAAGAATCAAGCTTTTTCGCCACAGATCTAGCTTCTGGGGAAGCTAGGGTTTCGGTTCCTGGCTTGGCCCATTCGGGAATATGGCTTACCGACCGTCCCTCGGAGAAGCGAAGGATGGCCTTGATTGTAAAATTTTGCAAGGCTATCCTGTTTGATAGCTCCGTCAAGTGCGCTTTGAGAAACGTCCGAACTATCAAAGACACCCTTGAATCCGAAGTTTTGGTACCATCTGAGACGAAGTATGTGACAGGCCCACTCCGTGCACTAGGACCTGTGCTGTTTCCTGGGCAGGGAATCGCTTTCGCGTTCTTGTTGTCTTTTCTGACGGTTGCGCCAAGCCGTCGATCTTAGTGGTCATGATAAGAGATCGCCAAATTGTTGATCGTCAGGACCTGTCATGCCCTCGGAAACATTCTAGACCACATGCAACTTCGGATTCCTTGTGCGAGTCGGAATACTGCTGGAGAATGAGAACAAAATGTGACAATGTTGCATGTGCAGAAGCAGCGCAGGAAGAATGGTCGGACGACTTAATCATATGAGCTAATTGTCGTATTCGGCGGCGCGAGCGGACGAACCGGGCAGGACCAAGCATTTCCTATTCGGGTCCTGTGTTGAGTCGAAATGTGTCGGAAGGGGCATCCGTGGATGGAAAGGGGCTCATCATCTCATCTTTCGAACACATTCACAGTAGCGTCATCGCGCAGCGAAGAGTCTGTTGGTAATATTGAGTAGGACGGTGGAGAACATACAGTCGGCAACGGAGATGGACACCAACACCGCACAGCCAATCCCAGCTGGCGCTACGGATGCTGTTGTATTGCATGCCCGGTTTGCCGGTGTAAACCGCCTGCAGGCAGAGGTCTTGAATGTTCGGATCAAACTTTTGCGACGTCCGCGGCTTGGCCAATGGCCCATGTCGCCATCACTGACTGCCACTCAAGTGTCATCCTGAGCTTGGGAATAAGGAGCGCAGTTTGTAACGAGAATTATTTGCTAGAAGTGAAGGCTAGTCTATGCTGTTGAGAACGCCAAAAACTCCCAAGCTTGGGATATCTTCCAAATCTTCTACACATCGCTTTCCCATATTATGCCTTGAATAAAAAGAAAACACAGAAACTCTCCGCAACCTGTCATTTGTTGACCTGGATCAAGCCTGGACCCGCAAGCGTAGCCTTTGCAATATCATCGGCATTCTTGAAGTTACCCTCAAATGTCAGCGCCGCGATGGTTAATCCCCACATGCTGTTCTTTTCGAACGGAAAGTCGGCTTGGAACTCGATGCTGGAACCGGTCCATTGTCCGTTCTTCACAGGAACGCTGAGAGGGACGTTCTGTCCATTGAGGTAGGTGACGAAGAGACCACCGGGGTCCTTGCCAAGGAAGCGTCCGGCAGTGACAACCTCTCGCAAGTCGACCTTCATGGAAAGCATCTGGTCCTTCGCCTCAATCTCGCCTCCATTCGCCATCTGCATTACGTTCAGGGGCGCAAAGGTTGGGATTTCGATCGAGGACATCTTGAACGGGCAAGAGTCCTTGACGACAAAAGACTGAAGAGCGGAGAAGGCGAACGGGGCGATTGAAGTCGTAAGGAAAGGTTGCGACGAGGGCGCACGGGCTAAGATGCTGCGATAGAACCCGTTCTGTTCACCTTCCTGGCCGATGACGGATGTCACGGCACGGACTGGGCCCGAGTCGCCATTCTTTGCGAGAAGCTGTGTCGCATCTTGGAGGGTACCCAGCACCACCGAGGTAAACGTCTCAGCCAAAGCGACGGCTTCCTTGAGACTGTTGGTAGGGAATTGGTACTGGCAAGGTGCCGGCGAGAACGCTTTGAAATGGTCCAACACACCCTTGGCGTCAAGTGCATGGAGCTTCTCTTGCTGTGAATGGATTAGTGACCGTGCGAAAAGCCAGCCGAGAGCGGGGGACATACAGCAACAACAACTTTCAACGCATCCATAAGCTTGTCCTTCTCCGTTGTTTCCCAGCCAGGCCCTCCCTGAGTCACATTCTCCAACATAGACGAGAAAAAGGCGACTTCAAACTGCTCATTGAACTGAATGAGCTGGAAAGCTGTCAAACTGCTTGGCTCCAATTTCGGTGGCGGCGCAGAGTTGGGTAGAGACCCACGAGCTTCTTGCTCGACAACGCGAATCTGTTCGGGGCTGGTCGGGAGCTCGGCACTGAAGGCCCGGCGTTCGAGTGGGGCCGCTGCCGAGAAGCCGGCAAGCAGCATCGCGGCGGCCGCGACAGACGATCCTAGATGCATTGCGTGTTGCTACAGTCCTCCAAGATTTGTTGTGAGAAAGGGCGATCTGCAAAACGAAGGCCTACGAAAGGCTGGGAAGAAAAGGGTTATTAACAATGTAGAACGAAACGGGTCAGCAAGGCATAATTCCGAGGAGCTAGATGATGTCCTGGCGTGCGTCCGGGACGAACTATTATACTCTCGAGGAGTTTGTTTCGATACATAATCTTGAAACCTGTTTCTGGCTTGGCGCACGTGGACTGCAACCAACATGCATCGGCCTAGCACACCATCTTTTCTCTCCCACTTACACATCCATTCACACCAAAAGAGGGGCCGCACACACGCACATCGATCACAATGAGGTGCCTCAGTCAGATTTGTGCACCCAAGCGGTACGGAACGATGCTGAGCCGACAGAACCGGACTACCTGGTAGGGCTGTTTTCGGGAGGAAGTTGCGCCGCCTCGCTCAAAACTGACATGTTACAGGCGAGCGGAATGACGTCCCTGGAATGACTCTTCTGTTTTCTCTCCCACGGCCGCGGTTCTTCTGCCCCTAGTGTCTCCAATTCCGCTGTCCCCAGTCATTTAGAGTAACCGATGGACAGGGACAAGCCTCCGTAGACCCAACGGGGTTCTGGACGGGCGTCAACTGCCTTGTCATGTTGTCTTCCCCGGGGAAAAAGAACATCTTCTGGCCAAAGCAAGTATGTCATGTCTTAGGCCTGATTGAATGAACCTGACACGTGCCGGACTAGAGGCTGCTCATTCTGGCCAGTCGCCCTCGGAAAAGAACCCGTACGTCAGAACCGCCCGTCTCCGAGCTGTTTCTCTCGCGGGCGCCCTATTGAGGAATCAAGTCGCAATTGCCGAACACTCCGTAAATCCTACTCAAACGCGAGAACGTGTCTAATTCAGATCCAGGTCGCTGGCTCGGGTCGTGCCTTGAACTAAGGCTGGAGCCAGCGCCGGCCTTTTCCCTTTTCTTCCTAGTGGGAGCAATGGCGCGCTCTATCGGCTTCTCCCCACGTGCACCCGATCTGTCTATCGATGTAAGCGTCAGCATCTGCACCGGCAGCGTTTTTACCTGCACCTGCAGCCGCAGCACTCTCATCAGGAACATGAAGAGGATCGACAGGAGACAACCTGGTATCAAGGGATCTCGTGGCAGCCCCCAGATGCAACTCCAACGGCCTCAGGACGCCCGCAGGCTGCCCCAGCATGCCAAAACTGCCAAACTGCCTCAAAGAAGCTCACGTTCCTGCAGCAGGAAAAGGTCTTTGCGTTGCCGCTTTGGTGATTCTCCACAAATGCGCGACGCCCGTTCGCGAGCGCCTCACCCTTGCGCTGCCGAACTCCGCCAAGCCGCCCTCCCCGTCCACGACACCATCATCACGATGCTCGTGCGCGAACCTCAGAGGTTCCTGTAAATGACACAGTTAGGAAGGGGTTCAATGACTTGCAGTCACCTTTCAAATGGCCGAGCTGTGTATGGCACTTGATAAAGTCCTCTCTTTTATCCTCTTTTATCATGTCACTGATTGAAGATAGATCGCGTCCTCTTAGAGCTTAGGTCTAACTACACCAATCTTCATATGAGAACTCTCTTAGCAGATTTTGCAACAGTTCCATTCGAAATGGCCGCATCATGTCCCAAGCGGAATAGCGTTGCGCCCGGGACGAATCCAACCCGGCAACTTGTTTCTGTCCAACGGGACGCTAGCATCGAAAAGGTCTGCGAGTCTAAATTAGCAGAATATCTGCTACACCCATCGAGCTTGGTGCCCGTTGTCGATGGCGGAAGAGCTTAACGGCATCTCAATCCGAATTCTGAGTTCCCACGAGTTCAGGAGAGCCTCATGGTTTCGGGGGCTTGTTTTCCGGAGGCCGGGGCCAAGTTGCGGTGGTTCCACGGAGTTGACTCTGGAAGTGCCTAGGTCTCCTCGCGCTCCGTTCCCGGGTCCGGGTCAGCGAGTAGTCGGACTGGTTTCTCTTCGGGGTGAACTTTCGTGCCACCGGACTCAACAAGTTGGACGAACTTTGCATTTTCCCATCTCGCATCCGCCTCGCATGCCCCGTCTGCTTCCAGTCGCTTCAACCCCACGGCCAATTTGCGAAATTCGCATTTTTTGGGTGGACGGTTCACCAATGTAATATCCCCCACAATGCAATATCATGCAGTGGTTCATGTGCCATAGAGACTGGAGGTACAAGTTTGCACGGCTATTGAAGTTTTAAAAGTCTTGTCGTTGTTTTTGCCGACTTGGCAGAAGTGCAAGTGTTTCATTCAATCCCCACAGCAACTCAATTACCACAAGCTGATGACTCGAAATCTGCAGGTTGAATCGCATTCTTGAGTAAAGGTGTTCATCTTGAGACACAAATGTTGCGCCAAGCTGTCTGCTCTTGCAAGACACGAACTCATGACTGGGTCGGCACACATCCTATAAACTACACGAGAAACGAGCAATCGAGCATGCCAAGTCGCGAGTGCAGCGCGCCCTCCGTAGGCTACCTAGATTCGGAACTTGTCGCGATGAACGTGCTCTCTAGCGTCGAGTCAAAACCGAGAGTTTGCGACGTGTGCATCGTCCGCGCGCAGCCCGGCCTGGTTGCACAAGCAGACTCACGTCAGCACTCAGCCTCCTTTTATGAAGACGGGATTGTTCATTGCCATGTCTGTTCGCACACATATATCACATATCCGTGTGTTTGTCACCAAACAAAAAGAAAGGTCGTCTGAATTGAGTTGAAAACAGAAGCAGTCATGTAATCACTGCATGAAATTTGTCGACGGGGGGTCAAATTTTGTGATGTGGACGTATCTCCAACTATGGTCTTGGCATCTGAACTCCTTGGGACGATCTGGAGGTCAATGAGCTTCATGCAAACTGCAATCTGCAGCCTGCGAAACCAGCAAACAAGTTTGAAAACAGCAGAGGAAAAAACTTGCAAGTGCCTGAACCTGGTTCACTTGCGCATTGTAGCATCCGCTGGAGGTCTTGTCACTGCCAACTCTGAAAGATGTCGCTCGCGAACACCCGGTCTAGACCTTGAGTGGATCACGTTTCCCCCTCTATCCCCGCCCGTTTCGTGTGTCAACTTCAGTGCGGGGTGCAGGCTTCTCGAACGATTCCCTCGGTATGGTCAGCACTTTCTAGTCATATCCGAAATATGTTTCTTCCCGTCGTGATGTCGAGGCGGCTTCGAAACGACGCTATCTCTACTTCAGTTCGGTACCTGGGCCCAGCCGAAAGGCAAAAGCAGTTCCGCTAGCTCAGTATTCTCAGGGACACAAGATGGTCCGACTTTATGGTTTCCGGCATCCGCGGATGCTACAAGAAGCCGCCGACGGAGTCTCGCACGGGAACGTAGGTGGTCAAGTCAACCACACCCGTTCCGGAGCTTGCCCATTGATCATGCCACACCAACGACGATGGCATGAAAAGGACACTTTACCTAGAGATATCGCCGGGTAGACCGCGATGCGACCGAGGTAGGCGTACAGCGGTAAGCAATATCCACTTCAGATAGTTCATCTAGTTGAACTTCATTCAAAGTGTTATGCTATTCGAACGGCAGCAAGCGGGATGGACTGGCCTGGGTACACGGTTATGTTGAAATCAGTTTGCATATGGCTTGACAACATTTCCAAGCAATCTCGCGGGGACATCTGTCTACAGGTGGCTCATAACGTGTCCGTCATGCATATCGTAAACACGGAAGATGTCGTTAGGCACATAAACACTGTCGATGCCCCCTGAAACCTCCGGAAAAATGTATCTGAGGCAGCGTACCCGACATCCGTCTGTCGGCACCGACGAAAAAGTTCATGCAGTGAACTTATTGGATATAGTTTTCTCACTTGTCACAATTGAAGGTTATCGGGGGTCGTTTGCAAATCGAAAGGAAGTCGGCGACTTCCGGTGAAATTGACGGAAGGGCCTCCGTGTGTTGCTCCGGACCCGTCCCGCTCTACATGGAAGCCCGGCGGAGTCGGCAGCACATGGGTCAGCTGATTTCTTTCTACCGAGAATGAACACCCCCCATGGCTTAAACTCGTCTAAAAGGTAAGAACGTGTTTGAGTCTGAAAGCCTGTCACTGATATTAGCGAGCAGAATATTACTTCTGATGGCCTACATGGTTAGGTGTAACAGAGCAGAGATGTGGAAGACGAAATGAGTTAGATGACCTCCTGAATCAATCACAAACTCGTTGCGAGACACACGATTTCTTTTCCGACCAGACATGTGTCATTATGTCAACTGATAATGTGATCGGCAAGTTTGGCGTCACTCATCCCATCTTCAATCACCTGGTTTGGCACGCTACCATATCGGGGTGCCGACAAGGTACGTTGATGATGGCTGGTTTCGAAGACCGAACTTCGGCAAGGAAGTCCATGACGCTCACGGCAAGCGATCCGAATATGGCGGAGGCGGAGACCGGGTGAAGCCGAATGTACCGAAATTACCGGGCTCGTCCCTTAGTCAAGACCCTCGCGAAGCTACCTATGAAGCGTCATATTGATCATTTTCAACTCTCTAAATATGAGAATGATACCTGAAACTTTCGCAACTTGCCTAAAGATGCAGAAAAGGGGCCTCCGACGGATAAAATTTGTAAAGCCACGAGTATATCACGCGCTCGTCGTTGGATAATCTGTTGTCCATCGCTTAAACTAATATGTGTGGGCTTTCCTCTGATCTCCAGCTCTTCATGAGAACCGATAATCCCCGGCGACAGTGTGGAACCATATCCACAATCACCCAATTACGAAAGCACAATAGCTCAGGGGTAGAGCGCTGGGCTCATAACCCAGAGGTCCCTGGATCGAAACCAGGTTGTGCTATTTCCCATCTTTTTTGAATCGTGACTCTTTTGACCCGGACGGTTATCGCCACGGAAATGCTAGAGGCCGTCGTTTTCGCGAAGCCGGAAATAACAAAAGTTCCGTCTGTAGATTGCTGACAGCTAGGCTCTAATCGTTGCTGCTTGTTATCAGCTTCGAGCACAAT